AAATAAAAAATAAGAAATGAAAATTCATAAAAAAAATAATCCAAACTTCATTTTCTTTCGCAAAACATGTTGTTTCCGTTAACCTAGCGTTAGCAACTTAACGGCAATTTAAAACTTGCAAATTTCAGTAAAGTGGAGTTATTATGCATCAAAGTGAAACGTGATATTATTTTTGAAAGACCAGCTAAAATTAAAATTATTTTGGATAATTTTTCCTTATTTATATTATTCATCTAAAATTCTAAAGATATGGGAAGGGAGAGACGGAGTTGGTATTTTTAACTCCGTACGTACGTAGGGTAGTCATGTAAATTGCTAAGATAATACTCCTCCAACCCATTTTAAATAGCAGGTTAAAGTTTTTTTTACTGAAGTCATGTCCCATATACTCCGTATAATTTGTTTGAAAATTTGAGAGAAATTAAAAGGTAAAATTTACATAATAAAAAAATTATATAAAAAAGTTGTAAGAGACAAGAGGTGAAATGGCTATTGTTTTATTGAGTAAAAAAAAATAGAGAAAATTGAATAAAGTTGGAACACAAGTAACTTGGAAGGGTAGCAAATAAAATGAGAGAATTTACCTAAATATGACTAAAATATAATAACTTTCTCAATATAGAACCGTATGTTTTTATTTTTCAATGTAGAACCATTGGTCATTATCCATTAGTCATTATTCAACTAAATGTCCATTATTGCTGCAATTAGTTATGTTTCATAATATTTTGGGCGCGTGCGTGCAGGTAGCTGCTGGGTGTTTTCGGCGGTTGCAGCTGTGGAGGCTCTGAACTTTATAAAAACCGGTAAGCTGAAAACTCTGTCGGAGCAAGAGTTTATGGACTGCGCCGTCCCGTTCAACGTTGACCCCTGCACAGGCTACGACCTGCGTAAAGTGTTCGATGCGATAATGAAGGTCGGCATCGCCAATGAAACAGATTATCCCTACACCGCAGTGAGAGGAAACTGCAAGCTGCCATTACCCGTCGCGGCCACGATCGACGGTTACGACGACAGCTACCCGAGAAACGATGAAATCGCACTTCAAGAATATGTGGCAACGCGGCCGGTGTCGGTGAGCATCAACGGGGCGGCGGAAGGCTTCCAGCACTACAAAAGCGGAGTCTTCAGTAGTGGGGACTGTCACGGCCGGGTCGAAACGAACCATGCCGTCTTGTTGATCGGGTACGGGACCGACCCGGATACCGGGGTAGATTATTGGAAGATCAAGAACTCTTGGGGCCTTGGGTGGGGCATGGCAGGGATAGGGATGATTCAAAGGGGTGGCTGTGGCCCGCAAGGCCATCTCGGAATTGCATCCGAAGCTCTCTATCCAATCTAAGCTAGGCTAATCCCACTAATAATATACTCCCGTCCCTAAAACATGCAAACACATAAAACTTGTCCAAATTAAAGACCGTAATTATAGTAGTAAAGGGGTAATTCTTCTAAGGGCGGAGGGAGTATATAATATAGCCTCTCCATGTCATGTCATGTTTATACAAGGCCGGTCTTGAAGATTCATGCCCGAAACAGAAAAAAGGCCCTAAGTATTTCTTCATCTTGTTTTTTCTTTTTTTTTTGACTACCACATAATTGTTTAGGGGCCATAGTTATTGAATTATTTCTGAAATAAAATCCAAATTCATAAATTCTACTTGGTCTGTCCCTGAGTGTTTGTCCACTTTTGACTTTTGGAACTGTTCACCTAAGCACTTTGACTCATCAAATTCTCTCAATGTGTAAGCCTAAAAATAGTCATGTGTAATCTTGTTTGATTCATCTTAACATATAGATTATTAATATATAATTATTATAATTTTTTAATATATAAATTACAAGATAAAATGGATTAAAGAAGTGCATTGGATGGTGTGCAAAAATAAAAGTGGACAAACACTCAGGGACGGAGGGAGTACTAAGTAAAATCAAGAATAAAAAAGTAAAAAAGCAAGAAAATAAATAAATATATCATAAATTAATATCAATTCGTCAATTTTTCTTTTTTTAATTGTTTTTTTTATTTTTCAGTTTTATTTTTTTTATAAATCATAAATTCGTAGCAATTCATAAATTTTTCATTTTTTAATTTTTTTTTCGGTTTTCAGTTTTTTTAAAATATAAATATATAATTATCATAAATAACAAATTCAATTCAATTCATCCCAATCAAATAAATAACATATAGAACCATTCATTCATTCTATTTCAAAGAATGAAATTAGAAAAGATTTCAAATTAAAAACTAATAATTAACCCTAGATTTTAAATCAAAAAAAATGAAACAATGAAAGAAAATTAAGATTTAAGAAATAAAAATTACAAAATTGGAAAGGGAAGACTATGAATAATTACGGAGCCGTGCAGGTCCGGCGGTAGAGACGGCGAGTCGGGCAGTCGGCTCTCTTATTTCTTCCGGTGACGTTTCTGGCTTTATGCGTTTCTTCGGACTTCGATCGGCCTTGCACTGCTTTTCTTCAGTTTTTGTTTGGGTCTACACTCTACAGCATACGAAGGGAGTGATGGACTGATGGAGACATGGAGACATGGAGTGATGGGCTGGGCTAGAGTCCTAGAGGTAATAAATTAAGGGGTGGGTATTGGGTCTGGGCTTATACATACATACATACATACATACATATATATAAAATATTTTTAAAAAAATTTGTGCCCCTAAATTTTTTGAGCCCGGCCCGGACGGACACCTTGTCCCCCTAATGGGCCGGCCCTGTGTTTACACTTAAGAATTACAGAGTATCTGTTTGGCCGGTACCGGTGTTCTGGCCGGTTGTATTGTGTGTGCAACAGCGTATCATTGGAGTGATGTTTTGTGTTGTCTGGGATTTTTTGTTGTTTTGAGATAGCTTGGCACGGTGGTTGGTTCGAGAATTTGTTTCCATTGCAGTTTGCAAATGAGGATTTACTTAAATAGCACTAAAACACAATTACTTTTTCCAGTGACGGAGCCAAAATACGATTGTTGGAGGGGCACCAACTACATTGCATTACAGGGTTCGAGGGGAACACCAAAAGAAATTTCCGAAGACAACATAAAATGATAAAAGGATGTGCAAATATTTTTCCTTTCTAGGATGACAAACTTTTTATCTAATAGGGTATATAAAATTTAACCATTACAATAATTCCAAATAAAATAATTTGGGTACACATTTTGATCATCAATAAATATACAAGTAATTTTTATGGGTACTAAGTATGGAATAAATATTATACAGAGTAACAATTTGAAATAGAATATATTAAAATTACGTCTTAAAAATAAATTTCATTATATTAAACTTACATTATAATTAAGAAAAATGATTCTTTTTGAAATTTATAGTCCAAATTTGTAAAACAGAATCAAAAAATTAAAAGAAATCCTTAGAGACTGTTAAATGACAATTACCATTTAGGCCATGTTGTGTTCAACTTATTTTTTCTTATTCTTATTAAAATCAGATCAGACCAGATCTAATCAGATCAGATCAGATCCAATCATATCAGATCAGAAAAAATAAGTTGAACGGAACATGGCCTTAGTGAATCTTCTTTTAAGCATTAAAATAATGAGAATTCACCATTCAGCAAAACAAGTTACTCCGTAGTCAACAATTAAGGAGCAGTGGAGCACTCCGTATTTACTAATTAAAAGATTAAAGGAATTGAATTGTTCTTAACCTGAAATTGGTGGACGGAATATGCAGCGGTGCCTGGGCGGAGTAGCTGGGTTCGACGTAGCGGCGTCCGGCAACGGCGCTACTGCAGGGGTAGAGCCGCCGGGTTCGTGCGTCAAGGGGGAAGAGGTGAGGCTGTATGCGATTTGAGATCTGAAATTCCAAATAAGCTCCTTAATTGGTTTTTTTTGAGAAATCTCCTTAATTTAATTGAAGCAAGAACTAATTAAAAAACTCATTCTCAAAACGACGACGCTGCACTAAGTTTTTGTTTTTAAAGAATTTCAAATCCAATCAAAGAATGACGAGAAGGAAGAAAGGAACTGCTGCAGCAGCACCACCGGTGGGGCACCTCTTCGCGGAAAGGAAACAATCGCCGGCTCACACCTCTTCACTGGACATTCGCCGGGGCACGTGCCCGGACAAGCCCCCTTCCTCCGCCCATGACTTTTCCTAAATAGTATCATGATTTATTTTTTTCCATGATATGTCATGTCATGTTTACACCTAAAAATCACAAAGTATCAGTTTGGCCGGTACCGGTGTAGTTTTGGCCGGTTTGTATTGTATGTGCAACAGCGTATCATTGGGGTAGTGTTTTGTGTTGTCTGGGATTTTTTTTTGTTTTGAGATAGCTTGGTACGGTGGTTAGTTCGAGAATTTATTTCCAGTGCAGTTTACAAATACTCACGAAAGAAATAAGAAGAGGAATTTAGTTAAATAACACTAAAACATAATGACTTTTCCTAAATAGTATCATATGTTGTTTTTTTTTCAATGTAGCACTTTTTGTTAAAGTATATAACAATCATTCTTGGGCCACAACCACAAACTTGAGCTTTTGGTTGAATTGGTTCTTTGACATGGTATCACAGCCTTGATGACCAAATCAAGACATGCAATTTCATGTGCTACATTATCGGTAATTCGTCCATCATGCATCAATCCTTCTAGAGAATCAGTCATCAATCCCCCTGCAATCCCACGACCTGGGAATCAAGTCTTCCCTTCGTAATGGGCTTAATCCATCATTGTGGGCCAGCCTTCAATCCGTTACTTCATTGGATCCTCGGGCTTTGATCTCCCTTTGCGCTCCGATAATGCACTTTATTCATGTTGGGCCTTGGAATTATATTTGAGCCGCCTAAGGCCTGTTCAGTGATCCAGATATCCATAACAAGCCTCTTAGTACTGTCTTAGTGATGCATCACTAAGGAACTAATGATTAGCCACCTTTGAGCCTCGTGCTAGATTAGAAACGATCCCACTCCTTTACTCAAAATCCGAGTCCTAACATCTATAAACCCGTATTCTGGCATCCATCCTTGCATTTCTGCTTTATTCTTAACTTAATCTTAGAGAGATCTCTTTTTGTAATTCCCAGCTTTCTTTCTAGATTTCTCTAGTATGTCTTCCAAATTCTCTGACCTAGAACAATGGCAGCCTGAATCTTCCATCTTTGAGGAATCAGAGCTCGCCCTCATGCGCGTTATTTTGAGGGATCTATTTAGGGTTCACCATCTGAACTCAGTGGGTGGGTTGAACCTCGCCTACAATCCGGAACCTCGCCTACAAGTGCTATATATAGTCATTTTGAAAATTTGAGAGTGAAATTCCAAAAATATTGTAACAACAAAAGCTATTGTTAGTGGAAGGATCTCAATATTTACGACTTAGCTTCTTCATGATTATTCAAATTATCTTTTTTTTGAAGCAAAGGGAATAAAATTATATTAATGAAATGATGAAGTCAGGGGGAGAAATGTTCCATTCTCTCCTGCTCTGGGGTGAATGAGAAGCTCGCGCTAGTACATGCGCCGCCTCATTAGCAGAGTGATAAACAAAGTGAAAATGAAAAATCCCATTGCACGAAGTCAATAGGGATTTACAATGAGTTATAATCGAAGAGAAATAAGACCAATCATGAGAAGAGTTATTCAGTGCATCCACCACCTCCTTACAATCGGTTTCGATCTCTACCTGCATCCAACCTTTTGATTTGATCCAACTAAGGGCCTCCTTAACTGCCACCGCCTCTGCCTCCCTAGGACCGTAGCTGCCCCTAAAAGATTTATTCTTAGCCGCCAAAAATACTCCAAGGTCGTTGCGAGTGATGAAACCCACTCCCATCATATCATCAACCAAGCCTGTGGATGCATCAATATTAACTTTCACAAATCCATCACGTGGTCTTGACCATGAACTTCCTGTGACCCCCACTGGCGTTCCTGCCATTGGCGGAGCTAACGACCACCACTCCTCAAAATGAGCTTTAGCTTTTAGCCACGTACCTATTGGGGTCGAGTTTTTACCCCGCCAAACTCTGTCATTTCGGGTCTTCCATATTGAGCACAATATGTGAAACACTAATGCTTGATCTCTCTGGTTGAAGAGGTTGAAAATCTTCTCTAGCCAAGCAACGAAATCATTGACATGGGGCATGTACCAGCCCAAGATAGAGGTTGTCCACACCTGTCGTGCAAAGCTGCAAGAAACAAAGATATGCAACATCGTCTCCTATGAGGATTGGCACAACGGGCATATATTTTGAATCGGCATTCCTTTACGTGCAAGATTATCTAGCACCGACATTATGTTATTTGCAGCCCGCCAAATGAGATTACGAATAGTAGGTGTGGTGTGGACTTGCCAGAGTTTCCGCCACACTGATTTCGAGCTGCTGTCATTAACCACACTCTCATCCCATGTTAGCATACGATATGCACTCTTAACCGAATACATACCTGACTTGTCCCTAGCCCAAATGAGCTTATCAACTTGGGCAGAGTGTGAGAGAGGAATATCTTGAATAAGCCGATGGTCCCGAACTTCAAAAATGGAATCAATAGTTTGCCAGTCCCAAACTCCATCTTTAATCAGATCCGCAACCTTTCGAATATCCTGCCTTCCTGGATCCCGTGTCAAAACCCACGGGTGATCTTTATCTCCAAGCCAAGGGTCCTCCCAAATATTGATCAAAGAACCATCCCCTACCTTCCAACGAAGGCCCCTATGTAAGACCCCCTGGGACTCAAAGATACTCCGCCAAACATAGCTTGGATTAGATCCAATTCCCGCCTCCAGAAAACTTTAAGACCCCCTGGGACTCAAAGATACTCCCCCTGGGAAAATATTTGGCTTTGAAGACTTTAGAAACCAGAAGATCAGGGTGTTGGAAAAATTTCCAAGCCATTTTTGCCAACATGGAGAGATTAAATTCACGAATCCTCCTAAAGTTAAGTCCACATAGTCTTTATGTCGACACAAACACTCCCAACTCATCCAGTGAATACTCCTATTATGTTGCAGGCCTTTGCTCCACCAAAACTTAGCTTTGAAGTTCGTCGCACATAGTCTTTGGAATCAAGAAGAGAGACATTGCATAGTTGGGGATCGATTGGAGAACAGATTTAAGTAGAACTTCCTTACCTGCTTGCGTAAGAAGTTTATTTTTCCAAGAGTGGAGACGCTTCCAAGTTTTTTCCTTGATATATCTTAAGGCTTCTCTCTTGTTCCACCCTAAAGATGCTGGCATGCCGAGATATCTTCCAAGTTCTTCCGTCTCTGTTATTCTAAGCTTAGCACAAATACTAGCGCGTAATAAGGGAGATGTGTTTGGGCTAAAGCAAACTGCAGATTTATTCAAGTTAATGTACTGTCCTGATGCAGCGGCATAAATACTCAAAATAGAATGGATGTGAGTTGCCTAAGCATCTGTAGCTTTGAAGAAAAAGAGATGATTATTCAGATTATCAACCATAAGATTACATATAACTACGAGTCTTGTTCTGACATTATAACCATACAAAAAATGGAAAAATAAAATAAAGAGTAATTAATATCAAGGAAGAACACTTAAAGCACATGAAAGGTGAAGAATAACATGGAGAGACAAACACAAACAACAGAATGAATACTCAAAATGTATATCACACCAAATGTATTTCTAAAAGCATTAGATGGAAGTTAAATATTACTCCCTCCGTCCGGGAATGATGTTCTCACTTTGATTTTTCCTCATTTTTAAGAGGGATGGAAAAAGGCTTTAAAATGTCCAATATACCCTTGCTTTAAAAATAAGGGATGAGGATAAGAAAGAGGAGAAAGTGGCGGATGGAACATAAAGTTCATGGATGGAGAAGTCTGATTCTCAAGATATTCAGACCCCTCTACATCCTCAAAACTGCCATCTTCCTCGCTCCCAATAAGAGAATCTTCCTCAGATTCAAGGACGATAACCACGTTCTTGTCTCTGACCGGGGCAACACCGGCATCATCGTCATCACTGTGGATGACGATGACCTCGTCCTCCTCCTTCGCGTCAGAGGTGGAAGATAGGTGAATCACCTCGTCCTCAACTCCAATGTCCTGAAATTCCGTCTCAGGGATGATGGAATCGTAAAGAAAGTAATCAGATTCCATGAATTCAGGCGGAGATGTATAGATCTGGGATAGGAACGATCGTAATCTAGGGATTGGGAGAGAAGAAGAACAGAGAGAGAGAGGGTAGATTAGATCTAAAGAAGGGGCGAGAGGGTTTAATTGGGGAGGTGGGTAGGTTGGGTAGATAGGAGTGAATGTGAGGATATTAAATGAGAGGGGTATTTTAGGGAGAATAGAGGAAAAAGCGTACAATGGAAACATCATTTCCGGACGAAAAAAACGTACAATGGGAACATCATTCCCGGACGGAGGGAGTAGCAAACAATGATCTCAAAGAAATGAGATGCCAAACCTGCCGAGAAAGCACGCACCCCAAATTGGCCCTAGAGACGTGAGAGGTCAAATTAAAGTTTGAAGACTTTAATTTTTAGGAAAATGCTAGGGTGCTACCAAATGGGTGCACTCATGCTTCACACAGACAAACACAGACGACACAGACAATTATCGTCTGTGTTTGTCTGTGTGAAGCATGAGTGCACCTATGGTAGCACCAATGTGGTGACATCTTAGCTTGGTCCTGATTTCTATTGTACATCTTTTTTTTTGAAGAGAAGATAACCTTTTGATGTTTATGGCACACTGATCGAAGGAGGCCGAGACAAAATGAATTTGACCTGCACTAAAAAAAGCTGACCTGAAGAAGGAAACAAATCTGGGTTGATCGAAAATTTTTCTTCTTTACCTTTCACGCAGATGAATGAAACGGAAACTTTTAGTGGTGGTTGTATAAGGATACAAATGTGTGGGCTGATTTTCCTTACCTTTAATTACTTTAGGTGAATACTCAAACAATTAGACACGTGTTCAGCACTAAGCAATGCCAAATGACATTTCTCAGAATACTAACTCTGAAATTTATATATAAAGGATTAGAAGTGAAGATTACATGAAAAGTAGCTTTATATAAAATCAGAATAAAATCAGATCAAATCAAATATAATCAAATCCGATCCAACAAAAAGAACAAGTTTTAACTTGAAGACAATTCTGAACTTGGAAAGTACAAGAGACGCCGTCGTTAAGAGGCGAACTAAAATTGGCTTAGGAATACGGCAGCGTTAAGACTTAGAGCATGTGCAGTGGCAAGGAAGAGGGATGCCTTGCACTGCCACATCAGCTTTTTCCACTCTTATCATGGCATGACAATGTCAAAATGCCTTGCTTGGTGAGGCATGAGTGTGACACTCCATCCTTCCTTTTTCTTTTTTTTCAAATAATTTTTTTAAAATTTTTATGAAAAAAAAAAGTACAAGAAAGTAGAATAATTTTTTAATAAAATAAATAATAAAAATATTTTTTTTATGTTTAAAAAAGTAAAAAAATGTAAAAAAATGATAAAAAAAATAATGACTTGCCATTGTAGAACTTGTCACTCCATGCAATTGCCACGCACTGACTGGATTATTTTTGATTGGTTAAAATATTCCCTGTCACCGTGTGACATTCCATTTTTGACTTGTCATTATTCATGCCTCTTAAGAGGCGAAGTAAAATTAGCTCCAGAATAAGGCGTCGTTAGGAGGCGAACTAAAATTAGTAAGAATACGGCGTCAGTAAGGAGGGAACTTGAAAGCTCAAGAATACGGCGTCGTTTCACGTCAATAAAGCTATAAAAACAGCTTCTCGTCCAATTCTCCAATTAGGGTTTAAATATTCGCCACTCTCTCTCTTAGGGTTTGATTTCTCTCCGGTGACCGATTGCGGCCCTCCGCCGATCGAATCTGCTATGGATCTAACGAAGAAGCGCAAGGCCGAAGAAAATGGAGCGGCTTATCCGATACCAATCGAGATTATGGGAAACGCCGTTCCCGGTGGTCCTCCGCCGCCGACCGGGATCCTCAGCCCGGAAGACGCCAATAGAATACTCGATCCCTTCTCCAAGGAGCAACTCATCTCGGTCTTGCGTAACGCCGTGATCCGGTATCCGGATATTCTTGAAGCCGTTCGTGCAGTGGCTGATGCGGATACCACTCAGCGGAAGCTCTTTGTTCGCGGACTCGGCTGGGAGACCACCACGGACAAGCTCCGCCAAGTGTTTTCTGCTTACGGGGAGCTTGATGAGGCTATCGTGATTACAGATAAGAACACAGGGAAATCTAAAGGTTATGGATTCGTGACGTTTAAACATATTGATGCGGCCATAATCGCACTTAAGGAGCCAAATAAGAAAATTGATGGGCGTATTACTGTCACTCAGCTTGCGGTTGCAGGGAATTCGGGTAATTCTCAATCTTCAGATGTTGCTCTTAGGAAAATATATGTGGGGAATGTGCCCTTTGAAATTTCTTCAGAGAGGCTCTTGAGTTTCTTTTCTACTTTTGGGGAAATTGAGGAAGGGCCGTTAGGTTTTGACAAGCAGACTGGTAAAGCCAAGGGGTTTGCTTTTTTTGTCTACAAGACTGAAGATGGTGCTAGAGCATCATTGCATGAGCCCATGAAGATTATAGACGGGAATCAGGTGGTGTGTAAACTGGCTACTGATAACAAGAAAGGGAAGCAACCTAATATGGGGCCTGCTGGTGGCCCTGGAATGCCAAACACAGGACATACTGGAATGCCTGGGGATGATAGAATGGGTCATGGGCCTATGCCTGGACAAAACTATGGAATGCATGGAACTGGAATGGGTCCTTATCCAATCTATCCAGGCGGACCTGTTTCAGGAATGCAGCAAGCACCACCACAGACAGGAATGATGCATCAGCCATTGAATTCAGGCATGGGTGGGCCTGCCGGAGCAGGGTATGGGAACCAAGGGCCAGGGCCCTATGGTGGTGCTACAAATAGCTATCCTGGTAGTGTCGGATATGGAGGTGGTGCTTCAGGGGATTTTGGTAGTGGCGGCATGGGTGGTGCCCCGGGGTCTAATATGTACAGGGTGCCGCCAAGCTCTGCTGGAATGCCTAATTCAGGAGGATACCCTGAAGGTGGTAATTATGGGTATCCCTCACAGATGCCACAGTCTGGACCAGGCTCCAGGGTTCCTCCTGGCGGTGGTGGTATGTATCAGGGTGGGCCTACATACTACTAAGGTAACCTTTATGATTGATTAATATCTTACTTTGTTTTATTTCACGGGCTCTTAAATTTCAAATGTTAATCCACGGGAATATGCCTGCTGAATTGATTCTTTTTTTAAGAACATGCATGAATTGATTCTAGTCACTGCCTGATTGATGCTAATTGTTCATGTGTTCTGTGGGTTGTTCTTTCTCTGAAATGTAGTGTATCTTGTTTGTGAAGTTTCTTGCGATAGCTTATAGCCTAACTTAAGATATTACACATCTTTTCTTAATTCATACACTTAGTCTTGGTAAAGTGATTTGAATGCCTGTGCAAGTTCAAATTATATATTGCTGCAGTTTGAAGTTCTTGTTAAGGATGTCCTTGTCTATAATAAAAATGTTTTCCTTTGATTTAGTTTTTTCTTTAACGTGGTGCAATGAAAATGTAATTTTAGTTTGGATCCATCCAAATATGAATCTTGAAGATTGAAATTCCATCAAAATGTCTACTTTCCCAAACTGTTTACATAGTGTTCTTTTAGGTGTCTCATCGTCTCTAGATCACCTCTAAAATGATTGTTCAATCGCTTAAAGATGTACATATAACATAAATTAGGTGTTGCTTTATGAATTGATGATTTCCATGTTTTTAACAACCTTCACATTGACTCTTTGTCTTTTAATTTCTGTTCTTATTTTATTATTTTTTACCTACTTACTCCGTATCTTCTATCTTGTTTATTTGAAGGTGAAAGTATATCTGGATTCTGTTTCAATTCTTCCCAATCTCCTTTGCTCTATGACTTTAAGTAGACTCTTTACAAACACAAGGCACTTGTAAAACATATTTTTATATCTAGTATTTCAACTATTGTGAATTTCTGTATTGTGCTCATCATATAATCCTATTAGTTCTGCTAAGTGCTACCTAATGACACTTGCTCACTGAAGCTTCTTTTTTGCTTGCAAGAACATGTTACCTATGCTCTAGGGGTTTGAATGATCAAAATGTATATGTGTCTATCAGGTGTTTGAGAGCCTCTTGGGAGCACATGCTTTATATGGTTATGGTGATTTCCTGATTGCAGACTGAATTCTTACGTGATAAATGGACTGCTCTACATCTGTTGCTGCTCCTTTCTATCTGCTACTATAAGTTGTGGACTTTGTGGATTCTAGTTCATGTTTGCTAGTTTTAAACTAGGAGTTACTTCAAAGAACTTGCTGTATCTGGTGTTGAATAATTTGATGATTGTTCTTTACTCGGTTTTGTTACTCAATTTAACTGCTATTTGTATTTGTATGCTTTTCTTTTCGTATCCCTGCAGTGGTTTTAAGTATACTTATTAACTGTCCAATTTCCCTTTTATGGCTAATTTTACAGTTTGTAAGTAACTAACTTTGCACACTGACTGTGTCTATTCGGTTATGTTCTTTTCAACTGAAGGCCTGAAACTTACTAAACTAAATTCAGAAGTGTTGTACTGAACCGGAAATTGAATAATTTTGTTATGATGCCATTTGAGTATTTTATATGTTGAATTGATCTGAGAAGGTTTGAACCAAAAATAAGTTGAAAAGAACAAACCCTTCAACAAGCAGTAATTTATTCTCGTGAAAACTTGAAAATAAATTTCACATACAGGTTTTTTTATGCTCTCTATCAAAGTCATTGTCGACATGTAATGACATAAATTTAGAATGTCAAACCATTCTTTAATCTCTGTTCACCTGGTGTTCTTTGCATTTTTATTGTTTGCTTGGGCATCACTAAAGTGTGAAATTCAGTTAACAAACTGTTAAGTGTTTTTGCTTTCGGCTGCGTTATTCTTTCTCGTTGTTCATCCCCATCAGCTAACAACTTGTTTTAAGATTAAATTTCTGGTATCTTTTTGAAACAACATTGTCGTTGTAGGTAGGGTTACAGTCTGTTTAAATTCACTTTCTCCACTCACTTAAGCAATTTGTCATTTGTGTATATTGTGCTTCTACCAAAATAGTCAATTCAATACCTGTACTATCTTTGTGTGCCGAACATGATATTACAATTAAGCTGCCAGATCATGGTGCTAATAACTTGAAGGATAAAGATATATTTAAGCATTTCCCCT